GCTGGGGATGAGGATGTGACCAGCAGGAGCTTGAGCTCGTCTCTGCTGTGTGAAGGGCAGCCCTGCCCCAGCTGGGACTCCCCAGTCTCACCTCCCTGCCTCGTGCCTGGGACAGGGAGACAGGGTCCAGGGAACACTGGTGGCCTTGGGCAGCTGGAGCAGCTGAGGTGCCTGCTCTCTGCTCCCCCTCACTCCCCACCAGCACTCAGAGAATCAACCAGCTTGGAAAAGATCAAGCGCCCCCGTTGGTTTGGGGCTTTCTGGGTTTGAAGAGGAGGAATCTGCTGAAGGCATGAGTTGGAATTGGTGGCAGGGTCCACTTCCTTGGCTTCTCTGGGCACGTCCCTTCGTGTCCCTGCCCTCCTCCAAAGCAGGCGAGGGCCTTCCTCTCCCCTTCACGAGCAATGTGGCGCGGTCCTTAGGCCCAAAGATAAGAAGAGCTTTGCTTGGTAGTCACTAGTTGCCATGATGGGCTTTGGGCAAGCACATTCCTGGTTCTTGGAAGTCCTCTGAGGTGAATTTCTCTTTTTTACTGCGAGCTCAGTGGTGGGACACAAGGAGTTGGAGCCCCAGGGGTGCTGTGGGGCAATGGAGCTGCTGCCCTGGCAGTGTTCAAGGCCAGGTTGGAGCAACCTCCTCTAGTGAAGGTGGCCCTTCCTGTGGCAGGGGTTGGAGCTGGAGGAGCTTTAAGCTCCCTTAAAGCTGTGTCTGTGTATGAGGAGCTGAGCTCTGGCCTCCATGGTCTGTTTCCCATTGGAGCATCCTTTTGGAGACGACGTTTGCAGGACGCTCTTTTGCTCTTTTCCATTTAAAGCCTTCCTGGAACACAGCAACTGGGTGATCCTGGATCTTTCAGCATAGGCCAAGTGGGTTTGTTCTCTTCCAGCTCTGTGTTGCTATTCCTGTCCTCCAGCCTTGCTCTGGGCAGCCTGATTTGTGTGCTGCCACATGCCAGGACACAGCTGAGCTCTGCAGCTCTTCCCCTCACTCCTCAGAGCCTGGGGGATGAATTAAATCAAGGAATAGAGCACAAATCCTCCTCCTGCGTCTTGCCCCCAGCAGATTAATGGCACAAAAGGAGGAGGTTGGGGTCTCATGGCTGCAGAGGACTCCACGTTGGACCATTTCCACCCTGCTTGGCATGATGTGTTCTACTCGCTGCTTTTAATAGCGCGCCAGCTCATTTTCCTCCTCTGGGCTGCTCATGTGCTGTCTGAGAGCAACTTCTAACCCAGCAGGTGTCAAAATGGCTCCAAATTGGGCCTCGGAACAGCCAAGTGGGCTCCAGGGCTGGGCACGTCCTGGGGTGCAGGTGTTGGCTGCTCCCCCCTCGAGGTGTGGGTGCCACGTGGCGGGGCCCACCCCGGGGCA